GTAAAGAGGCTCTTACCCACCTGGTAAGCTCTGGGTTCAGGAGGCAGAGCTGCAGGGACTCGGCCAGTTGTCCGTGGGCAAGGCAGAAGCGGATGAAGGCCCGGCCTTTCCCCAGCGGAGTCTTCAACTGCGAGTGCATAGCGGATAAGTGGGCAGATCGATGTGTTACCAGGACAGAGGGAGAAAAGATGGAATGACTGAATGGTTGATGAGAAAGGGTGTCCTGGGACTCAAGGCTGTGGGAGGAAAGGGTACTGAGGGCAGGGCTGATGACAGGTGGGGACCAGCTGAGGGCTGCTATGGTCAGTGGAGCGGGATGGGTGAGAAGGGGGACCTCGGGCAGGCCTGTGTCCCCTCCAGCCCCCAAGCCATCTTTGTCAAGGGCTTAGGGGCAGGACCCTACCATGCCGAGGCTAGCCTCCCTGCCACCTGGCCCTGGATACCTTGTCCTGTGAGTGGACGAAGTGGACTGGCTCCGTGTCCCCCCGCTGCTGCCACAGGGCTGCACAGAGGAAGTCCCAATAGTCTTTCCGAGGCCTCAGGAAGCTCTTCTGCTCTTTCTGGTCAAACTGGGAGCAAGAAGAGGGAAAGGAAAATGTGGAAATGCTTCCTGCCAGAACCCACTCTGCCATCCAGCATGCTGAGTGGGCATGTGGTGGCAGGGAAGGGGCTCGTGCAGACAGAGCCAGCTTAGGGTCCTGGTCTGTCCTAGCTGGATGTGTGATCAGGAGCAAGCTGCTCGATCTTTCAGAGCCTTTGGTGTTCTCATTCATTCATTCATTGCAGAAATACTTACTGAGTACTTACTATGTTCTGGGCCCCATTTTAAGCCTTGGGGATACAGCAATGAACAAAGTGAATAAGTAAAACAGATAGTGCATTAGATTGCACTGACTGATAAGGAGAAAAAATAAAGCGGAGAAAGGGAATTGAAAGTGTGTGGCGTGTGCATGCCTGTGTGAGATGTGTGTGGGGTGTGTGAGTGTGTGATGTGTATGTGTGGGGTGTGTTAAAAATGTAGATTAGGGTGACTCAAGAAAGCTTCACTGAGGAGGTTTTATTCAAGTCCAGACCTGAAGGAAAATGTGCCATCCAAATTTCTGGGTGAGGAGCATTCTAGGCAGAGGGAACGGCAGATGCAAAGGCCCCGAGGCAGGTGCTTTCCTGCTGTGCTTTAGGAAGAGGCTGGTGTGACTGGCGTGCAGCACCTGAGGGGCAGACTGGCAGGAGACCACATAGGCACACAACATACACCACACACAAACAAACCTTACACGTACACGCACACTCACACCACACGTATCTACACGCACATAGAGAAGTAGGAAGGGGAGGTGTGTGGGAGGTTGGGGATGGGCTGGTCATCACAGTGAAGAAAAATTAAACAAGAAAGAAAGTGAAAGTTGCTCAGTCGTGTCCATCTCTTTGCAACCCTATGGACTGTAGCCCGCCAGGCTCCTCTGTCCATGGAATTCTCCAGACAAGAATACTGGCCTGGGTTGCCATCCCCTTCTCTAGGGGCTCTTTCTGACCCAGGGATCGAACCTAGGTTTCCTGCACTGTAGGCAGATTCTTTACCATTTGAGCCATCCAGGGAAGCCCAAATTAAACAAGGTGGGCATATAAAAGGTTTAGCTGGCCACATAGTAGGTGCTCAATAAAAGCTAGTGTTACTGATGATTGAGGTTGTAACCAGCAGCGAGGATGGCCAGCCCAGGGACATCCATGCCTCTGAAACCTTTGTCTTTAGGGTGGGAGGCTGCCTCCAGCCCAGCCCAACCTTACCCTAGCTTTGCTCTGGTTCACTTTCCTCCAAGAGTGAGGTGAAATGTCTGGAGGATTTGCCAATTGACAGAGAGGAGGCCCCAGTGGCTCAGTAGTAAAGCATCAGCCTGCAATGCAAGAGACTTGGGTTCGATCCCTGGGTCGGGAAGATCCTCTGGAGTAGGAAATGGTAACCCACTCCGGTATTCTTGCCCAGAGAATCCCATCAACAGAGGAGCCTGGTGGGCTGCAGTCCTTGGGGTCGTAAAGAGTCGGACACAACTGAGTGTGCACGTACAGTCACAGAGACGAGGTAGTGTGTGGTCCCAAAGAGTGGCAGGGGCTCTTCCTTCGGCGCCTGGGAAACCATTCGGTTACTGGTTATAGGGACCTGGAGAGATGGGAGAGATGGGAGGGGAGGACCTACCTGCAGCAGAAGCTCCAGGCAGCCACAGAGTCTGTGTAGCTCAGCACTGGCGTCTGTCACCGGCTGCTGCCCAGCCCCGTAGCCCTGGAGGATGGCGGAGACAGCAGCTGTGGGGAGGACAGTGGACGTCAGACCTCAGAGAGGAGTGGGGCTCCCGAGACCCCTCACCTCTCCCCAAGTGCCATCCCAGAGTTCTCTCTGGACACACTCACCCTTCAGGTCCCTGGTCATCTTGAGGACAGCCCCTTCTTCCGCCATGAGTATATGAAGGGCGTGATTCCTATGGTCTAGAATACCGGCATGGGAAAGAGCCTCTGGTTGCAGCTGCCCAGCGCTCTCCTCATACAAAGGAAAAATCAGAGCCTAAAGAACAATGTGACATCTCTGGGGTCACATGGTGAGTCCACCGGTAGGAGAAAAGCCCAGCTCCTTCTTGCGAGGCACGGTGGGAGGAGGATGGTGGGGTTCCCCCACCTCCCAGGGAGCCATTCCTGGGAGGCAAGTACTGCGCCCTTGCCTGTTACCTTGTCTCATTTGGTCCCCACAGTAACCCTGGGAGGTTATTAACTCTGTTTTATACTAGGAGAGGCGGGGCTCAGAGAGGGTGTTCTATCCAAAGTCACCAAACTCTAAGGGATGAAGCTAGAATTTGAACTCAGGTCCCTGCCCGCAGGGCCCATGCTCTCAACCCTGCCTGGCCATGAGCAGTCCTGTTATGGCTCATGTGTGCAAGCCATGTGGTTGCTGGGCCGAGGCCCCATTCCCCACAGGGGGCCTTGCCCTAATAGTCATCATCCTTGGGACACACATTCATTCTCTCCTGGGCCCCAGCTGAGTGGAAAATGTGTGTTCTTGGAGGAAAAGGAGGCAGGAGGAAGAGGCAAGGCAAGCCCCCAGAGAGAGGCCTGGGCTAGAATGCTGGGGTGTGGGGTGTGAGGAGTAGGGTTTTAATCCTGCTGCCCTCTCCCCAGGGAATCTCAGCCTGTTTGCCCCCCACACAGTGGGTCTTGGGGTTCAGAGAGGAATAATGTGGCCCCTAGGGCCCGAGGGCTTCTTCTCTGAGCCGGAAGTAAAGACAAACACAGGGTGGGAAAGCCAGGTGTCCTGCCTCCGACGCTGTGGTGGCTGGAACTTGGGGGTGAGTGGGAGTGAAGGAGCACTGGGACGCACAAGAGGGGAAGCGAAAAGGAAACGGAAGGGAGTGTGAGGGAGGCTGGGGGGATGGCATTCAGGGAGCATGGTGCTGAGAGTCAAGAGTCCTGCTCCTCCAACCTGGCCCTGTTGCGAGCTCACTGTGTGACTTGGGGCACATCTTTCACCTTTCGTGGGCCTAGATGTCCCCACCTGTAGACCAAGGGGTTGGATGGAGGGTCTCTGTAGCTCCTTTTAGCCCAGATGACCTCTGAAATCCACAAACACCTAGCTGGACTGCCTCCGCTTCCTCCTCTCTATTCAGGATTCCTCTGCCCTTGCTCCTGGCGTCACTCCCTTTCTCTGGCCACCCCCAGAGACCCAGGGATCTCCTTGCTACTCACCTCGAAAGGCCTGGCTCTTTGGGGCATGGAAAGCTGGGGGACTGCAGCCTCAGCCTGTCATCTGTGACTGAGCGCTCTGTGCAGCCGCTCCCAGGAAGTGACTGCTGCCTGGGAAGTGACTCACCCCATCTAGCACCCTGGACGAAGGGGAAATCTTGCTCAGAGCAGGAGGAACGGAAGACTGTACACAGGGCAGAAGTGGTAAAGGCAGGGTCAAGGGCACCGGGGCAGGTGGTGAGACAGGAGACGGTTCCTCTTAGGCAGACCAGGGGTAGATTCACTCATTGGCTGAACAGGGATGGGGACAGAGGTAGAGGCAACTGCTGCTTTGCAAGTGCTTTGCAAGTTCTTTCCGCTTCTCGTCAAGGCCACTTGCTCTTGTCTTTCTTCCTTATCGCCACCAGGTGGCACAAAGGGGCCATGATGCCGCCCCCAGGAGCCCGCCGGTCTTCACTGACACTTGGTTGGAGTGTGGCGCAAGTGGGGAGAGGAGAACAAGGGTCCCACCACGTGTCTCCCTTCTCCACCGTGACTGCTGATCACCAGTGCCATCTCCCCAGTCCTGGGAATCACCCCCGAAAGGTCGAGAGTGAAAGCACTGGCGAAAGGCTGTATCCAGAATGGGCTGGGTGGATTGCTCAGGTGGGCTGGAACTCTCCCACCCTGGCTATCTCTGCCTCCTTGAGGCTGGGGTTTTTTTCCCCCGTGGGGCCTCCGGGAGCTAGTATTGAGGGCAGGGTACAGAGCAGCAGGCCCCTGCGAGGACAACCCACTTTACCCACCCCCGCCCCAGGAGCCGCGCGGAAGCCCTAGCGCGCACGCGGTACCCAAGCTTGGCTCTGTCCTTCGGTGGGGACTTCCTGCCGTCTCTTCTTCTCTGGGACTCGGTCTCCCGCGTGCAGAGGCTGCGTCCCCGCCTCCGTCCCCCGTGTCCCCATCTCTCCCTCATTATCTCCCCTTATCTGCTTCCTGCCTCTTCCGTCGCGCCCGCCGGCGCTGTCTCTCTCCCGGCGGGTCCGCCGCCCCGGGTCCCGAGACCCCCGCGCGCCCCTCCTCGCGCCACCGTGCCCTCGGGTCTCCCTCCTCACTGGCTGCGTCCGGGCGCCCGTGTCACCGCCCCTCGCCCGGCCCCGCGCTCCCCCGCTTCCTGGCACTGCGGGCCGAGGAGGCTCCGGGCGGGGACGGGCTGGGGGCATCGCTGGTCCCCTCCCGACGCTGCCGGCGCCCTGGGCCGAGCGGTGGCTAGGGCGAGGGGCGGGCGGGGGCCCGGCCGGATGGGCTGCACGGTGAGCTTGGTGTGCTGCGAGGCGCTGGAGCCCGGGCCCCCCTGCGGCCCCCAGCCCCCGGGGAGCCCCCCGGCCCCCGCGCCGTGGGAGTACCGAGAGCCCCGGGGCTCAGTCCGAGCCCAGAACAGGCGGCTGCTGCTTCAGGTAGGGCGCTGTGCGGGTAGGTGGCAGGCACAGCCTGGCTCACCTGAGACAGGTAAAGAGCCCCGCGGGGAAAACACCCAACATGGGTCAGGGCGCGCTGGAGCGTGGACCAGGTGAAGGGGCAGCGTGTTAGGTCTCATCTGGCTGTCTTGTGACCCTGGGAGAAGGGTGATGTAGGACCTGACCCTTAAAAGGACAAGTAGTTCAGGTGAGATTTTAGGAGCCACCCAAGAGAGGCAGGGCTGGGCTTGCTGGGAAAAGCACTGAAAGAATGAATTTTCCCGGAGCTAGTCCAGCAGTTGACTGTGTGTCCCTGCCCGTAGCCCCGACTGTTGTCTCTGACCAGGGCTCCATAGTCAGGAGGGAGGGGGCCTTCTGACTCAGGGAGGGTCCGGTTAGAGCCAGAACTGACCTGAAGATGGTGGGGGAGCTGGACCCTCACCTCTGCACTCTCTTCTCTGGGTAAGTCTTGGAGCCTTGCAAGTGGGAAGCTGACCCAGATGGGTGGGAATAGGCCGGTGTAGGGAGGCAGCTGTTTGTCCTGGATAAGGCCTCTGTCCCCTGAACTAGCAAGCTTGGTGTAGGTGTGGGCATTGAATTTCTCCAAGGAGGAGGAGGGATACTTGGGGTCACCAGGGACTAGACAGCCTTGCTGTAGGCTTCTTGCACAATCCCAGCCTACCTCCCTGTTTGGGGACTGTGAAGGCTGCAGCCTCCTAAGTTTCATTTGGTGTATGGGGTTTGGATTATGCTGGTATCTTTTGTCCCTCCACCTGGGGCTCACAGAGTTTGGGCAACTCAGAATGTGTGGCGTGGGTAATCCCTGCTCCCTTATCCCCCTTCTTTGAGGCAGCCAGCAAAGCCAGGTGTGTGCATGTGCATATGTGTGTGTGTGTGCACTGAAGTGACTCCTCTGCCCCACTTGACTGGATGTCCCTCCAGGTCAAAGATCTGGCATATTCGTGGTTGTACTCACAGTGCCAGGTATAGGGCTATGCTTATAAACCATACTCTGTCCTTCCCAAACTCTAGCGCCAGTCTTCACTGCGATGACCGACCATGGTGAGGGGACAGGCTTGGTGGAGTGTAGATGTTTTCTGGGTCTTCACAGTGGCTGGTGGCCCAGGGATGATCCTGTTGGAAGCCTGATTCAAGCTTTGGGCCCTGAGGGTACAGTGAGGGCTGAGGGTGTCAGCTGGGCATCCCAGACTACTGCCTCTCTGTCCTGGCAAAGGGGCAGAAAGTGAAGCTGATGTGGCCTAATTCTTGGACTGTATATCCCCCGCCCCAGATGTCATCCAGGCTTCTCCTGGCCTCAGAGCCTCATGAACCCTCCTCTGTCCTTGGAAGTTTTCAGGGGAAGTGAGTTCACAGTCTCCCTCCCCTGTCTGTTCCTATTGCAGACCCTTCCTGACTTTTCTCTTTGTTTGTGGGTCTCCTGATTTCCCATCTCCCTACCTTCTCTACTCTGCATGTGGTTGCAGGGGGTGGGGGTGGTGGGTGGGAGCCAGGAGCCACCTGAGGGTGGGCAGGGACAGGCAGTCAGGGCAGGACAGAGGAAGGAGCCAGGGGCGCTGGAGGAGGGTGATCAAGGAGAGGGGAAAAGGTGGGGGCAGGGAGAGTGGGTGTGAAGGCCTGTGGACGCCCATGTGTGACAGCTATGGGGACGGGCATGGGGACGAGTGTCTGTCTGCATTTGGATGAGCTGGTTTCTGAGAGAGAAACCTCTTGAGAGAGCCTGGCACTCACCCATGACTCAGCCTGCCTTCATCTGCAGGATGGAACCGTCCCAGTCCTAGCTCATGCCCACCGCTCCTCTGGCTCCAGTGGGTGGGGGGGTGGGGGCAGGTGCTGTCCCCAGTGTGGTCTCCCCTCTCCAGGCCCCTCATTCATACTGCAACTCTCAGGAGACTTTGGTCATCCTGGAAAGGGCAGCCGGGCTGCCGGTCACCTGCCAGAGGAGGTGTTTTATCATGTTCTTGTGGCGGATAAACATCTCTCGGGCTCTCAGCCTCCCTTAGGAGTCAGGGCTTAGAAGCTACTTAAGCATTTGGGCTCCTGGCCAGGGCACTCCTACCAACGGTCCTGCCACTGAAATGCCACCTTCCCTGCCACAGGACCCCCTTCCCCTCTGCCTCTTTCCGTAGACTGAGTTTCTCTTCTTGGGCCACAGGCTGTGCTCACATCACCTGTCCCCACCCGCAGCCTCGCTCCTCCCCTCTCCCTTCTGGCAAGCCCCCTTCCCACCAGGCCATCTTGTCCTCTAGTCCCTGCATGCTGGCCACACTCGACCCCCCCAAGCAGTCTATCCTCTACTCAGGCCACACTGCTCTCCTTGCTCTGGTGGCCTCTTTGTCCCCTCAGGCCCCATTGCCCACACCTCTCTCCTCCCATAGCCGGAATCTGTGGCCTGCTCCTCCTCTTGGCTTTGAGGAAGTTTGCCCCCGCCTTGGCACCCGCACCTCTGAGCCTCAGCTCTGAATCAGTGGAGCCTGGAGGTGTAGGCCTTGCACCCTTTAGGTGGCCTCCTCGTGGCCCCATGACTGCCCCACACCGGGAGCCCTCCCTTGGTCTTACACAGCAGCCTGCCAGCCTCGGGAGAAGGGAAGGTGGGGCTTGGCACTCCTCCGGAGCATTCCTGCCAAACCTTCTCTGACCTGGGCGCCAAGGGGCCTGGAGGGCATCTCCAGGTGCCAGCCTCTCCTCCTCGCTCTCTGCCATATCCCAAGACAAGTGGCTGCTTGTCAGATGCTGGTGGGAGCAGAGGGGAGGAGACTCCGGGCTGCCTCTGCCTCCTCTCTCTGGAAGCCGGCTCCTGGGGTCAGTTCATCCGGCCTCTGCCCAGTAGCCCAGAGCCCTACTGAGTTTAGGAGACCCCCAAGGGTAAAAGGCCCTGCAGCTCCCCTGCATTCCTGTTGTGGGGTCCTACATGTGTGATGGGAGTTCTGGGGTCTCATCTAACTCCCTCTGCTCTGGGTTGAATTGCTTCCTCTATTTCTCTAGTCATATATAATCATAGATCCCACAGCTGAAGGAGTTTGGTTAGTGGTTCTGAACCTTGAAAGGTCATAGATTCCTTTGAGAATCTGATGAAAGCTATGGATTCTCCACCTTGGGAAATGTGCACGGGTGTGTGCACACACAGATACACACACAGACATGCATGCACACACACACTCCACCACTGTAGGATCACTCTCGCACAATATCATAAACCCCCTCAAGACCCAGGTCCTGATCCATCCCAACCCCAACCCTGCACTGCACAGATGAGCACACAGAAGCCCACAGACGGGAAGTGACTCGTCCAGGGCCACATGAGGGATAGCACAGCCATAACAGAGGGATAGATAGGAACATAACCAGTGTCCTGACCCTGCATAAGTGGGAATTTGGTTCCCAGACTGCCTGTAAGGTAGGCGGGTCTGTTCATTCATCTATTTAACAAACTTTTTTCTTTCCTTTAGTTTTGGGATATTCATTGCCCCAGTTTGTAACAGAATTAACTTCACTGTAAGTGTATGCATTGAGCTTCCCAGGTGCCTTTTTGGGGAAAGAGTCTGCCAGCAATGCAGGAGCTCAAGAGACCCAGGTTCGATCCCTGGTTTGGGAAGATCCCCTGGAGGAGGGCATGGCCACCCACTCCAGTATTCTTGCCTGGAGAATCCCACAGACAGAGGACCCTGGCGGAGTATAGTCCATGGGGTTTCAAGAGTCAGACACGACTGAAATGACTGAGCATGCTTGCATCCAGGTTTATGTATTTCTTAAATTTATTTTTATTGAGATATAATTGACATATCACGTTGTGTAAGGTGAAAGTATACAGCATTTTGATTTGTTGCATTTATATATTGTGATGTGATTACCACTGCAGTGTTGGCTAACACCTCTATCATGTCACATAATTATCACTTCTTTTTTTGTGATGGGAGCAATGAAGGATATGGTCTCTTAGCCTGTGTGCATTTTTGAGCACCTTCAGTGAGCCATCCGTGGAGCTGGCAGCTGAGGCCAGAGCAGGAATGCAGGCAGTCCCTGTTCTTTTTTTTCTTAATTTTTTTATTTTGTATTGAAGTATAACTGATTAACAGTGTTGTGATAGATTCAGGTGAACAGCGAAGGGACTCAGCCATACAGATACCTGCAGGCAGCCCCTGTTCTTGGCTTCAGAGTGAGTGTCATTCCAAGAGGAGAGGGAGAACCAAGTGTAAACAAGTAATTGCGCAAATGCATTGTTGGAAACAGTGCAATGGAGGAGAAGTAATGGAGGTAATGAGGGCTACCAGAGGGATTGGAGTTAGATCAGGAAGGTGGAGGAAGTAGCATTTAAACAAGGAGCTGACGTGCTGGTAGAAGTTAGAGAGGAGAAGCGTTCCAGGTGGTGGGACCAGCACATGTGAAGGTCCTGAGATGGAGGAGAGTTGGGAGTTGGGAGCACCTGGGAATTTTACAAAGGCTTTCTCCAGCTGCTCCCCTTGGGCCCTGTGATCCATGCAGTGTGTGTGTGTATTGGAAGCAGGGAGAGGCAGAGCAATGAGACCTGGGGAGATGGTTGCTGTCACCTGGGGGAGAGATGATGGTGGTTTGGGTTAGAGAGGTGACAGGTCATGGGGAGGGGTCACTGTGGGGTGGGTGAGGCCAGAACTGATTCCAGAGGAGAAGGGACAGGACATGGAGGCTTGGATGTGGGGTGAGAAGGAGCAGGAAGGAGGGTGTGAGGTGAAGATGACTCCCCTCATAAAAATGGAAGGTGGTAAGGCTTCATTGAGCATTCCTCCATTTTAGTGAAGTGTTTCATAAATGCATTGAAGTGCACAAGCTTTCCACAAAATGAATACACTCCTGTGGCCATGTAACCAGCGCCAGTCAAGAAATAGAGCCTTGCCCACCACACCCAGAAGGCCCCCTTCCCCATTCCCTTCAGGTACTAATTGCCCTCTGAGCATTGTTCACTGTCCTGACTTCTACCAGCATAGATTTGCCTTTTATAGAACTTC